TTTCCATTTCAGAGGGTCTGTTGTATGGCTCCGCTCTTTAAATCCAGACGGACTGAAAACATGCAGCCAACCATTTCCGTTCTATAGGAAGAATAAAGATATTTTTAGAGTAATGAGACGTCCCGAGGTTTTGTGAGCCTTGGTGCAAGCTCTGGTACACATGTGATTGAGAGTGAAACCTGAAGCAACCCTCAATCCTAATGATTCAGCAATTAGTTCTGAAGGTCAGGCAGATTCCCAAATATTTATAGGCTTTTCAATGTTTCAGTAAGGTTTTACATGCCAGTTTCCCCTAGCTCTAGAGCAAGATGAAAGCATGCAAACGCTACCTCATATATTTTTAAGACAATGAGCAAAATGAGCTCTCTGTGAACTGTTCATGCTTTGCTTTGCTAATAAAATCAATGTCGGCACACTTCTGTATTTCAATAAAGAACTTCTTTTTTTCTCAGATTTAAAGAGAAATAAATTGGTTAGCCTGGGCTCCAGCACTGAAGCTGAGGGTGATGTGTGATTCTGCTACAGGAATGAGTGTTTGCCAGGGTGGGATGGAAATTAAACAAAAAGGGGAAAGAAACCCCATACCTCGAAACACTGGAAACCATTCTCTTTTTTAAAATTATTTTCTTGTTGTTCAGGTGTGTTTTTATGATAATACAGATGAAGCCTCTAGTCTATATGAAGCCACATCCCCAAGCCTCTTGTAAAAGAGTTCTTGTGTGCTGCAGAGAACTGGTGGGCAATGCTGCTACTCATCTAGGTATACAAGCTTCTAATTGGGACGGTTAGTCACTCTTGCAGGTTTGATGTCCTTGCACATGGGCTTCAGTGAGATGATAGTTATTTTCTGTGCAAAACTATGACTCTTGTCAGGTGCTCCCATGCTGATGGCTTTTGCAGACCCCAGCCTTGGTTGGTGCTGTTGGGTTCTTGTATCTAGGCTTTGGGGTGTTCTGAGCAGTGAATGGAACAACTGCTGCTGCTCAGAATCACACGCAGCTTGACCTTTTTGGAGCACCTTGCCTGGGCACGTGGTGTGTGCTGAGACCTGAACAGAGCACTGAAATAACAGCTTAGAAGCAGGCACTGTAAGGTAGAGCTGTGTTTGCCAAAGCTAGAAATAGCCAGGCTTTACAATAATTTTACTAGGTTCTGTTCTATATTATAACTTTAAAGAGCCAAAGCTATTCCTCAAAATCCAGCCTTCTCCTCCAGTTATGAACTAGCCCACACTGCCAAGGTTGTTTCCCTGCACTCAGCCCAAGATGTGGGAGGGCAATCCAACCTCTTCCTCTCCTCAGACCCCGTCCAAGTATGCACTGATTGCTGGAACGTGGGCCTTCTCCCCAAAACACACAGCACGGTGTTAGAGGAGCTCAAGTGGGCTGTTTTCTTGTAAAACCACTCTGCTTTACATTCATGCTCTGTCTTTTAAATGAACCCTAATCTTCAGGTGAATGTCTATGGTTTGAAATTGTTTGCTAAAGTAACTTGAAACCTGACCCGAAGTCTGTAAATCTTTACTTAGAGTGCCCTGGG